ATGGCCATCTGGCCAACAAAGGACAACGCACGCGGACCGGCGACCGTGTGGGAGGGCCTTGCCGGGCAGCTCAGAGCTGACCAGGTGAGGCCTGCGGTGATGCAGCCCAGAGGTGCTGACAGCACTGCTGCTCACAAACGGTCGCTGGTCTGTGGGCGTGGTCCGGTGGTGGCGCAGTGGTAGTTAGAACCCCTCCAGTCCACCGCGGAGGAATAGAACAGGGAGGGGCACTATGCTGGGATAATGCCCATCGGTGAACGGAACATGGGCGTTCTCTCCTCACAAAATGCCTAGTGTGCGTCGTATGTTTGCGGCCATGCCGAGGCTGCGTGGCCTCGGACAGGCTAGCTGTGGCCTGTGCTAAAGCCCACAACCGTGCGGCTCCGCCGCGGACAGGCTAGCCGTGGCCTGGGCTAAAGCCCACAACCGCGCGGCTCTGCTGGCGGCTTTTTCGATATATCAATGTGGTATACCTGTTCGTTGTTGTGGTTGACAATCGATCCGGGAGGGCGAGGACGACAGGCTTCGGGTCGACAGCCGAAGCCAGACGCTTCCAGGCCTTCTGCGAAGAGAAGGTTTTGGAGCAGATGGGGGCGCGGAGACAATACGGCAGGTTCAAAAGGTTGAGAGGTCATTTTGATTTGTTTCCGGTCGTGTGGGCTAGGGGGCCTTTGATTTTTCGTTATCATGGATCTGTGCGTGGGTAGGGGCAACAGCCAGGCGGGGCACCGGCCGACAGGTCATTTTGATTTGTCCTTTGGTCATTTTGATTTGTCCTTTTGGTTCTAAGGCTGCAGTGCACGGGCTGCACGTTCCAGAGGCTCCCTCCCCAGGCTCCCGCCTGACGCAGGCAAGACTGCGATGCAGGAGTAGGCCAAAAAGGTGCTGCGGAGGGTTTGAGGGCGCCTGGACGTCACCTTCGGGACCCTAAAGAAAAGAGGTGCAGGCCAAGGTGACAGCTTCCAGCGGCTCGGGAGGGTCTGTAGGTAGCCTGGCCAAAGGCGCTGGAGAGGGTTTGAAGGCGCCTGGACGTCACGTCCGGGACCCTAAAGAAAAGAGGCGCAGGCCCAGGTGACAGCTTCCAGAGGCTCGGGAGGGTCTGTAGGCTGCATGGCT